CGATTCTGTAGCTGCAAGCTTCCAGAACGATTCCGAGTTTCCCTACTTCTACGTGTGATGTTCCTTCAGGTGTCCACCTCCTGAGTGCATGATATGACCTCCTCCTCAACAACTTCCTCTGTGTGGTTCCCGTCCAAGACCATTCTTTCCGCTCTGTCCAGGAAAACCTCTTGCTCCCTAATATACTGAAGCTTAACTACCTGGGCCTCCAGCTGCTTCACTTTCTCTTTCAGGAGGGCTATGAACTTGCACTTGGTGCAGGTGAAGTTCCCCACATCTCATGAGTGCTGACAATCCCATGGACAGCCAAAAGGACAAACAAATGGGTCCTAGAGCAGATCAAACCAGAAACCTCCCTGGAAGCCAAGATGACCAAATTGAGGCTGTTATACTTTGAACACATCATGAGTAGGGAGGACTCTTTGGAGAAACAATAATGCTGGAAAGGTTGGAGGGAAGTAGGAAGAGAGGAAGGCCACATGCTAGATGGATGAACTCTGTTAAGGAGGTCATGGGTATGAAGTTGCAGGAATTAAGCAGAGCAGTGGAGGACAGAGTCTTGGAGATATCTCATCCATAGGGTCGCCGTGAGTCGAGATCTACTCAAAGGCAGTTAACAACAAAAGCCAAACCTCCCACTTTAAAAGTTGCCACAGATTCTTTCCTTTTAATTTTCATAGGATTACTTTGATCATGTCTGATCTACAAAGCATATTTTTGTTAACCCAAAATATTGTTCTAACCAAAACATTATAAAGTGTATTCACTTCCTCAAGGTTTGGGACCAGGGAGTGATCTTACATTATTTGTGAGGGGGTGTGCAGGTGCATATGCATTTCACCACTGCCTAATGCAATACGTTACCTCCTCTACTTTCTCTTCCTTTATGAGGTGAAAATTGGGCAGCTCACATTCTAGAATTCATTGGTCCCCAAACTTTGATCCTCCAGATGTCCCAGAATTCTTGACTGTTGGCAAAGCTGGCTGTGGCTTCTGGGATTTGAAGTCCAAAACAGCTGAGGAACCAAAGTTTGGGAATCACTGCACTAGATGAACTCATTTCGAGAATATGAGCTTCCCTTGGGACCTCTCAGGTCTCAGTGACACCCCACCCTGCCAAAAAATATGAGTTCATTTTTTTAAATGGTTCCTGAATGCAATTTTTCAGGTGAAAAAAATAACCTGAAAGGTACTAGCACCCTTTCAGGGAAGCACATAGAAACAATATGAAATTACTCTCCAATCTGCCCACAAGTGACTTCTGGTTCTAGAAAATGGCAACAGCACAGCCCAAGGTCAGGAGGAACCAAAAATGGCCCTCCAACCCTTTCAGTATACACACCTTTACTTTTACTAAGTATGGTCACCTTTGTTTTGTCTTTACTTCTCCCAGCATCACCCACATTATTATTTTTCCAAACTTATATCATATTCCCAATATTTATATGGATCAGTATTATCTATATATACTGTAGGGATGGGAAACAAGTTACCCTCAAAAAGCTACTGTGCTGCACCATCAAATATAATGGCTAAAACTGATACAGCACTGCAAGGTCTGGCAAGTGACGCGTTCCCTACCCCTGAACTACTGTTATTGTTACTTTCCATTCTATAAAGCTCCTGCAAGGATATTTTTCAGATTTGTAAGAAAACATGTTTACTAGCTTTTCTAATGTTATTCTGAGACCGTGTCTATTTAGACATTAAAATACAGTCTGTTTCTTGGCAGTAACACTATGAAAAAATAATTGAAACATTGAAATACAAAGAAAACAAGAAAAGAGGTATATAAGAATAGAACAGTAGGATTACAAAATTCAGGTGGGAAAGAGATATAAAAATTAAAAACATATTACCAGCTCAGCAGAAGCAAGGAGATGGGATTTCAGCTGAAGGAGCAAGACTCAGGCATGCTCTTGGCTCTATTCAAAATCAAATAAAAGTATTTTTGCAATTCAGAGACCCTACATTGTAGTTATATATTATAACTCAGTCACCCTTAAACAGAAACAAAGAAAATTAGGTATCATTCACAAGTATAGCTGCCCACTACAAAACCAGTGAGCTGACCAAAGTTCTACTTCTGAGAAATGATCATTTGTGGCCTCATCTAAAGGGAATGAAGCATACCGCCCAACCGACCTTGTTCTCTAACTTTCTTTTCCTGCAGGGCAAGGCATCATATTCCAATATGGATTAAATTTGGGACTTCCCTTCAATGTCACTGTTCACATTTCTTCAAGTTAAAATGTTCTTCTAGTGTTTTCTTAGAAAAAAAAACCAAGCATTTAACTGTTCACATAATTAGTATGTTCACAAAAATTCTATATATAACAGTACCAAAGAGTTCTGAGTGCAACAGTTAAGAGCAAATGTGTTCAGCAATGGAAGGATACGTGGGGTGCCTTCTGTCCTACACACCAAGTAGAGGCAGGCTGCTATGACATGGGTCATCTTCCTCCCACGGGTTAAGTGCTTGCTCACAGCCATCTTGAAGAAGTTGAAGGCAGTATCAAGGCAATGTTGATTAAGCTGAAGTTGGTTTCCCAAATGATGAATCTGACGCTTTCCTTTAAAAAAACAAAGGAAAAATATAAATTACTTACAAAGTGCACTTACATAAGACAGTGACGTCTGCACAGATGCTCCATACAAATTGAAAGACAGAGACCAGGTTCCTATAGTATCAAACCAAACATGAAAAACAAGAGAGTAGTGCTAATGGTTTGAAAGTTACTCCACTCACACAATGAGGCATCCAGGGCTTCACTGTGCAGACAGAATTCTTTGTTTTCAGACTAGGACTACCATCTGAAAAATGCCAAGTGGCAATACAACACTGCTAGGCTGGTAGGCTTTCCTCTGCACTGGTGTTCAATTGTACATTGGCCCTGCAGTGTAAAACCTTCTCCTCTAGAACAGGGATGGGCAATTGTTATCTGGGGGAGAGACACTAGGCCCAGCACCATCGGGCCTAGAATAATAAGAAGAGCCCTCCCTCCATTACCATCCAATGTCATCTGGGGGAGAGACGTTAGGCCCAGCACCATCGGGCCTAGAATAAGAAGAATCCTTACTTCTTAAAGGACGGGTGGGATTCGGGATGTTATGTTCTGTTTAATATATCTGTATGGAAATTTTAATATTGTAAGCCACCCCGATTGCTCTGCAGAGGGGCGGGATATAAATTATTATCATCATCATCATCATCATATGTTTGTAGACTGCAACTCTCAGGATCCTCCCTACTGCCTCTGTTGACTGCTAGCAGGGCTGCTGGGAGTTGCATTTGAAAGGAACACACTCCCTCGGAGTGTGGTGGAGTCTCCTTCTTTGGAGGTCTTTAAACAGAGGCTGGATAGCCATCTGTCAGGGATGGTTTGATTTTGAATTCCTGCATGGCAGGGGGTTGGACTGGATGTCCCTTGTGGTCTCTTCCAACTCTATGATTCTATGATTTGCCCACCTATGTAGCAGAAGAGGGAAGTTTTAAAATAAAGTAGTTCCCAAGAGCAGTGAGGTTAAAAAGTGACTAACAACTGAAACAGCAGCAATATTTTCACCTGACGAAACCTACAAATTTACTATTCTGAACACGGGAACACGGGAGGAGGGATTGGGATATTGGATTGTTTTTATTGTACTATTTTAACTGTTGTAAGCCGCCCCGATTGCGATGCAGAGGGGCGGGTTAGAAATAAAACTTATTATTATTATTATTATTATTATTATTAATATCCCACCCTCCAGGGTATGGAGGCAGGCTTCAAAATCTCAAATACCATATTAACTTAGGAGCAAGCTACAAGTTTTGTTACAATGCACCAAAAAGCTGGCAAAGCACATTCTCTCTCATATACACACACAACTTCTAATCATAAATGAGACAAAACCACAACTGAGGGAATCTGCCTGTAGAAAAAGATGTGCTCTCTGAACTTGCCAGTGCTGAGGAAGCACTTCCTTCCTGTGCTGCTATTTGGAGAGAGCATGGCTGGCAGATTATACAGATCAAGCTGTGACTTCAAGAAGATGGATACACCTCCTTGCTTTGTTTGAAGCCCTTTGGATAACTCAGAAGAGGATATGGTACAGCTGGTGATGTAGTTGTGGAAAGTGCAGCACAGGCCCACGATGCCAATAAACACTTTGGCTGCAAGAAACTGAACAGCACACAAGACCAAACTTGGTAAGAGTGCATACAGAGGAACAGGATAAGGCAAGTATGGACAGGATGCTTACCTGTAACTGTATTTCTTCAAGTGGTCATCTGTGAATTCATACAAATGGGTTATAGCTGCGCAGGCACAGATATAATTCCATTTGTGTGATTCGCAAAGACCACAAAGAAGAAGGTATTTATTGTTAAGCCAATGAGCAGTGCATAGATACTGTAAGCAAGAAAGATGTTTATACCATGTATTGTTACAGGAAACATACAACACCCTAACACCCTAAAGTTTCACAAGGATATTAGAAAGCATTGATCATGTGGGGAGCAAAGTTTACCATGTAGGTCATTTTACCGTTTTATTATGATGACAACACCTGACTTGCAAAGCAAAAAATAAATAAATGATGGGACCACTACATGCATCATTTTGTGCCTTTTGTTAAACCAAAGCATTACTTTAACACTATAGGAAAAAGTGATGTCCAACATATAAGCAATGAGCAATTACTGTGGCTAGTAAATATTGTAATCAACCAGCTGTGAAAAGTTACCTTTTTTTATTCCAGCTCCCATAATCCACCAGCCAAATGCCATCATGAATCTGGAAGCAATAGTCTGGTATGTTCTATATGAATGGACCAAAACAGCAAGCTTTCTTCACCATTAGCATCCAACATCAACATAGAATGTTTTATATTAACCAAACCTATGTGCACTGGAACACAGGAAACTGCCTTATATATTGAACCACCCTGCTCCAGAATTACTTCACCGTCTGATGGCAGCTGTCCAGATTTCAGGTAGGCGTATTTCCAGCCCTATGTGGATATTTCAGGAATTGAATCTGGGACCATTTGTGTGAAAGACACATGCACCTCCACTAAGCTAAATCCCTTCCTAGAATTTGTCGTTTTTTATGGTTAACTGCCTTCAAGTCGACTTCGACTTCTGACCCATGTGAATGAGACATTTCCAAGACCCCTGTCCTCAACCCCCTGCTAAGGTCCTACAGGTTCAGGCCTGCAACATCCCTGATTGAGTCTATCTATCTGACATGCACTCTTCTTCTCTTTCTACTGCCTTCTAATTTTCCTAGCATTGTCTTTTCTAGCAAGTCATGCATTCTCATGATGTGGCCAAGTACAACAGCCTCAATTTAGCCCTCTTGACTTCCACAGAGAGTTCAGGCTTGATCAGTTCAAGGACCCAATTGATTATCTTTTTGGCCATCCACAGCATCCTCAGCACTCTTCTCCAGCACCACATCTGATTGATTTTCTTTCTAACTTCTTTCTTCACTGTCCAGCTCTCACAACCATGCATGGTAACAGGGAATATAATAGCTTGGACAATCAACACTTTAGTGTGCAGAGTTATGTCTTTACTCGTTAGAATCTTGTCTAGATCTTTCATTGCTGCCCTTCCCATTCATCTTCTGATTTCTAAACTGCAGTCTCCATTCTTATCTATTTTTTACCTTAGTTATGGGAACTCTTTTACTAATTCAATTTCCTCATTATTTAGATTGAATTTACCTTATTTTCCTGCATGTAAGATTATTTTTTAACCTGCAAAATCTGTAGATAAAGTGGGGGGGGG